GCCATGGCGGCGTCGAGCTCTGTGATTCGTCCAAGCAGCAAGGTGACATTGCGCACTGGAAAAGCATGTTGCAAAAGTATGTTTCAAGTGTTTCAGATATTTCATCTGGGTGTTGCAAGTGTTTTACGTGGATGTTGCAAAAGTAGATGGGGATGTTGCATATGTTGCAATGGTTGTACACGTATGTTGCAAGCTTTTGTTCCTAATGTTTCAGTTGTTTTTTCAGACGTATGTTGCAAGTGTATTTATCTGAATGTTGCACGTATTTCACACATATGTTGCATATGTTTTATCTGGATGTTGCATATATTTTTCTATGGCTTTTTCAAGCGGTTTTACAAGTGTTTCAAACATATGTTGCAAGTGTTTCAATTGTTTTCGAACGTATGTTGCGAATGTTTCATTTGGATGTTTGAAAAGTAGATCGGGCGTTGCATCTCCCTCCTCGCTTTCTGCTGTCTCGTCTCGGTGTCTCCTCCTCTTCTCGATGCTGGTGATGTTCGGGCGACGTGGGCTCGCGTGGGGACGGGCGGCGTGGGTGGGGCGAGTTCTTCGAGAGGCGCCGAATCCGAGTGGGTGGGGCGTGCGGAACGAAGCAGGCGCGGGGCGTGGGGAGCGGCGTCTGGATGCAGGCCTCGTGCCAGATGTCCAGGCGGTAGTCGTTCCGATGGAGGAAAAACAACTCCTTTCAATAGTTAAAAGACCCTCCCTTTTTTTCTAGTTCGAGAAGATAAATCAGACTACAACAATAGTTGATGGAGGTAGTGACCTTTTCCAATATATAAAATAACTAACCTGGTCTGGGACTTGAGTGGGCCGAATTAGCAGCCAAAAGAGCCCGTGCCGCGTATACTGCACGTCCCTGCAAATGCTATGCTGCATGAGCTGGGTCACAACTCAGAAGGCTAGTGGTGACGGCTGACGGGGGCAAAGGCCTCAGCCCTGATGCCCTCACCTGATGGTCCCTGCTCCGGAACCATCTTCGTGCAGAGCAGACCGCGCCTTCGGCAAGCGGCGGCTTGGCATCCTGTTCCTAGACCAAACCGCACTCATCAACACTAGTGCCCAAAGAAAATTTTAACCACAAAACAGAGGTGTCTGGCAATTGCGACCGAAAGCTCGACCAGCGCAAGAGGCCACCGAGGCCGTTTTTGCGGTGCGGGTCGCGATCAGATGGCGCCCCCAAGATATCGCGCGCCCCTCGCAGTTCACACCGCGCACCGAGCCGAGCGGTCCGCGTCGACGTCGAGACGGCGACCACCGAAAGCGTTTGCGGCCGTGGGGTCGTCGGGCTCTGGGGCGGCCGCTGGTTCCACAGCAACAAGGTTTCCAATTCCACCACGTCGAGCTCGGTTTATTTAAAGCAATAAATACGAGCAATGCAACCCGAGCTGCTCGCGTGTGCACATAGTTGCCGCCGGAGACTATGATCGATAGGATCGGTTCAAAACTTCAGATGTCCCAAGCTTTGCTGATGGACTTTACGGATATGATATTCCGAGTTGTGACGCCTAGCGAGTAGGAGTAGGGAACACCAATTTCTCACTAGCATGTTTTGTTAGTGGATTGACTCCGTCCGGCACCAGTTCGTTCAGCATGCACACAGGGTCAAGTCGTCCGTCGTTTTTTAAATGAATCGATTCCTCGGATTACTCTCTGTCCTTAAATAAATCAATTTATACAATCCGTGCTGGTCATTTTTTTTTTAAATTTGACTAATTTTATAGAAAAAAAGTAACAATATCTATATCTAAAATGAGCACCTTATAAAAATATATTCTATGATAGATTTAATGATATTAATTTGATACCATAAATCTTAACGTTTTATTCTAGAAATTCGGTTAAAGTTTAAAAATTTTGACTTCCGATAACTTCGAGAATCTATTTATTCAGGACAGAGGGAGCAGGAGTTACTAAATGAAATGGCTTTGTGACTGATAAGTGATGACACATACTAAAGATGCAACCCAAACACCCATCTTAGGTTGGGCGCTAGGATCGGATGATTTCGATTTGAGCGGTCCGCCGAACCAAACGCGCTAAGTGCCCATGCGCTGCTTTATTTTGCCAACGTACAATTTGTAACTATGAGTCTGACTTTATTTTTCTCCCATGAATATATCCCTTTTTCTTGCGTGTCACTGTTTTATTGTCTCTCTTTTTCTTACATAAATATCCACAAATATCCCATATCAGTTCATCCTCTTCACTATAATTTTTGGCAAAATTGGCTACACGGAACATTGAAAAGTGAAGTCGCTTTGCATGCGAACTTCGAAAAAAATCGCTTTGCTTGTGGACACTCTAGTTTAAGACAAATTTGCTGAAAGACACCGAACGCATTAAAAATTCATTTCTCTCATAAGGGGAGAGAACAGCTATCAAATGTCGTTTTTGCCTCTGGCTCTTTCTTCCTCCTCCCTCCCTTTTTATTCTTTCTCCATTGAAGACCTTCATGCTCTTCATTCCGGCAGTCCCGCCCCCTAGCTCGGCCACCGCCTGCACTCCCATGACTTGCACGTCAAAAACGAGCCATGGGCAAAAACGATATTTCACAATTGTTTTTCCACCTCAGAAGAAGAAATGAATATTTTGATGTGTTCGGTGTCTTCCAGTAAACTTGTCTCAAACTAGAGTATTCACTAGCAAAACGACTATTTTTGGCGTACATTGACAAAACGACCTCACTTTCGATGTCCTATAGCCAATTGTACCATAAATTTTTTTATAGCTAATGTACTTCGTTCACTGCTAAACTTAGCAGCAAAGGAGCGTGCAATAAGACTACTCCCCACCAATTTCTTTCATGTTTATTTACAAAAGAAAGTACCAATCGACTTTTAGCTAAGCTCAATCAGAGAGAGAGAGAGAGGATCCTTTCGCTTTCGACTTGGCTTTCGTGTGGCAACGTCATTCGACAAAACCATCCACAATACATCCCATCCTTCCCCATCACAACACCAGAACCAATCACTAAAAATCTGGGTCGATTCCCAAATCCGTCGCCTTTCCTCACTAAGCCATGCTTGATCGTACCTGAGTTTTGTTTTATCACTTCTCGATCCCGGAACGAGCGAAGCCCAGGACACTGCACCTAAAAATCATCAGCCGGTGTCCTGCTTCTTGGTGCCCTGTTTGTCTCCGGATTAGCCGATCGGGAGCACGCCTAATCCACCATCATATCACGCGTCAAACCCCGCTCTGAACTCTGCTGCCATGTAGGAGTAGTACCTTTTAACGACACATGAAGTCGTCACAGCAGCTGGTCTTCGCGGACCCTGGGACACGCATGGTTGAATTGAACTGTGACCCGTCGTTTACGTGTCGAAGAACGCCTCTGGAGTTCGGCCAGGAGGCGACGAGGTCAGCCGGTGGCCAACCGGGGCGCCATCGCCTGACCCACTTCCCCTATCCGCAGCCTTTTTAGTTTCGTTTCGTGCGGCGAGCACAAAATTCTTTGCCGCCTCCGCGACATCTAGCCAGGACGGCCTGTCCTGTAACGGGAATAACCGCCCGCGCAGAGGCATAGCCTACCTCGGCAGGGCAGCCTAACGGCCACGGCAGCTAGCCTGGCTCTGATGCTGCCATGTCGCGCGCGCCTCGTATCGTATCGGTGCTGCTCCTGCTGCTGCTGCTTGGCCCCCTCCCCATCATCTCCTGCGTCCACGTAGAGACCGCCGACGGGCCCGTGACGGCGACGGTGCACCGGCAGGACGACGGCACCGCGTGGCGCTCCTTCAAGCAGCTGCTGGACGCGCGGCGAGGCAGCCACGTCGCGGGCCTCGGCGAGCTCAAGCGCTACCTGGCGAGGTTCGGCTACATGCCCGGGGCGGCGGCGCGCGAGCCGACGGACGCGTTTGACGCGCACATGGAGGCCGCCGTACGGCGGTACCAGTCCAAGCTTAGCCTGCCGGTCACGGGGCAGCTCGATTCCACCACGCTGGATCGGATCATGGCCCCGCGCTGCGGCGTCGGCGACGACGGCGGCCACGGTGTGCCCACGGCGAGCCGGGACGGCGCGGTCAGCCGGTTCACGTTCTTCAAGGGTGAGCCGCGGTGGACGCAGCCGGACCCGCTCGTGCTCACGTACGCCATCTCGCCGACTGCCACCGTCGACTACCTGCCTGCCGAGGCCGTGCGCGCGGTGTTCCGGCGCGCGTTCGCGCGGTGGGCGCGGGTCATCCCCGTGGGCTTCGTCGAGGCCGACGACTACGAGGCGGCCGACATCAGGGTGGGCTTCTACGTGGGCAGCCACGGTGACGGGATCCCCTTCGACGGGCCGCTCGGCGTACTCGGCCATGCCTTCTCCCCAAAGAACGGGCGCCTCCACCTCGACGCCGCAGAACGGTGGGCGGTTGACATGGACACGGAAACGGTGCACTCGGCTGTCGACTTGGAATCCGTGGCCACGCACGAGATTGGGCACGTCCTCGGGCTGGGGCACTCGTCGTCACCCAAGGCCGTCATGTACCCGAGCCTCAGCCCGCGGCACAAGAAGGCGGAGCTCACCATCGACGACATCGAGGGCGTCCAGTGGCTGTATGGGCCCAACCCGGGATTCAGTCTCAGCTCGCTCTACCAGCAGGACTCCATGGCGTCGGGGAGGAGCAGTTGGCTTCCTGCCTCGGCTAGTTTAGTTTGTGCAGTCTTGGTCATGCTAGTGACGCAGTTGTAGACAGACAGGTTTATAATACACAAAAAGGATAAGGACAGAAACAGAATGAAATAAAAAAGGGCTAGGTAGCATGATCCTGCTACAGAAGAGAAAAACTTCTCTTCTTGTGGGTTATCTTTATCTTAGTTTTTGCACACAAATTGTGTGGGAGAGACGTGTGTCTCTCCTCTTAGGTTTGTATTTGCACAGTGAAGTTGTTGCAGAAATGCCCCATGTAACTGTACATAATCTTATATATCAGTCAAAAGTGTGGACAATTGTTTATCTACACAAGATAATGCTTACTGGCAGCTACTTAGACAAATATGAAATGGTGAGACTTCTACCGGGACACAGTGGTCTGTAGTGGCATGACACTTGCGGGTCCAGCTTCCTCTGCTTCAGACGGTCTCTGCGCGACAATCTTTGATCCAGCTTCCTCTGATTCGGTCAATCTCTGTGCGACAATCATTGACATCCCGAACATCTTCTTGATAGTCTTTGTGAAGCATGTCCTGTGTTCATCTGCAGAGGCATTGATGAACTCGTGGATGTGATCTCTCAAATCTGAGACGAATGATGTGCCAGGTACATTTTTTCGGCACGAATGCACAGCACGTTTTGAATCAAGTTGATGTGATCCTTCATGTTTGGTGCGCCCGGACATCGTCATGAGATACTGCAAACAAATGTATGCCATACCATGAGAAAACCAGTACTCCATCCGGACCAATTTATAAGGTATAAGTACGCGCATCATGATTCAAACTTTACAATTTTTAAACAGTAATAATTTGGCCTACAATTTTTAACTATTATAGTACAAATTTGATATGGTTAGATTTGTAATCAAATGAAGCATCCAATAATCATAAGTTTATAATTATAAACAATATAATATAAAATAAATGAATGGTCAAATTGTAACGTGGTAGACCATATCATGTCAAACTACGCCTTATAAACTACTAGTCCGGAGAGAGTAACCAAGAGAAACTGACAGAAAAATTTCAAACATGTAGCAATTCTGTGATCCTAAAGGAAAGTGAATTTACTTTACACAGCTAAGTGACTTGTTTAACGAAAATAAGTTTCTCATTGGGATTTAACAGGAGCGCAATACAACAGCATACTTCAGTCAATCATCATGAATAGAAGTATGAAAGCTACAAGTTATATAGAAACGCTCAATTATTTGAACCAATCAACTCAAGGTTCATATAAGTTTGATTTGGACATCAGTCTGAAGTCTGAACAAGATACTAACAGCATCTATGATAGTCTGTAACAAAAAATGGCATGAAGAAACAACTAAGCCGTGGACTACCTAGTTAAATATTTAGTATTGATGATCCAGAATGGAGCATCATATAATTGTTTCTCTGGAAATGTTATTTCAACATCCACTCAACAATGACAGCTCAAACAATTTCTGGGAGCAATTGAATGACAGTGCTAAGAAGAAACATATCAGATGAGGTGGAAACATAGTGCTAGCATCAAAAGATGCTGTCTTTCTCCTTCTTGATGCGCAAAAACTGTGAAAGGGACTGGTGCAGAGAAGGATTGTAAAGCATCATGATCCCTCATTATTTGTCAATGAACATGGCACAACATGATGCTCACAGTACTATATTGAAGTTAGGACTTAGGATGTCAAATCAATAGCCACAAGAATAACTAGCGATAAGAAAAGAATGGCCAGTTTACTGGTATCCCTTAACTGGTCAGACGTCAGAGACTCTTTTGTAAACATATTTACAGATAGACAGCTAGAAGTGCAAGCAAAGTATGCAACATGGCAGCAGTGTCCGCAACAACAACCTGAAGGGCCAATTTAGGTGATTGACCAATTAGCCCATTATACAAGATGTCGTCGCGAAAACCACATCTAGGTGAACCTACTACCAGTTGCACAACTGAAAATATGCAACCGGTTAACGAGTCACCATGCTGTTCTGTGCCCATAAACCTCAAGATAAAACACAAGAGACAGTACAATGGAACATCAAAACGAATAGTCCGTTTGCATCAGGTCCAAAAGAACACTACAGTGTCTAAATTACAGCATCTCCTTTTTTTGGCGAGGAAAAACTCTTGCCTTTTGATGTCAAAACTAAACTCTTGGCTCACAACGAGTTGTGAGTTGATGTGTCAGAAAAGGAACCACTAGGCAGAGTATTCCCTTCGATTGGCACAACAACACGAGTTAATGTAGGTGGGCTTACTGACCATCCACACAGGGAGTGCTGCCATTGAGGCTGCGGTGTGTGGTTGGCTAATTAGCCACCAAGGCCAAATACAGACCTAACCATAACCTTCTACGTTTTTTTAGCACAATATGTCGGCCATGGACATGGGTATTGAACTGAAGTTAAAAGTGGCCCTCCATTACAAATCCAACAAACAACAGAGCTAGCTTCAATCAATAATCAAATATAAATAGCAAGAGCACAATATATCAGCCATGGACATCGGTATTGAACTGAAGTTAAAAATGGCCCTCCATTACAAATCCAACAAACAACAGAGCTAGAAATTTCAATAATCAAATATAACATAGCAAGATGTTCACCACGAGAATAAGAGGGAGAGGGGGACTACCTAGACCAAATCCTGACTGCTATCGCAGCCAAACACGGGGTGGCGGACGAGGACAGCTCCGGAGCTGGGGGCGGCGCCGCGGCGGCTAGGATTTTAAAGTTGGCTGTCATAGGGAATTAGGGTTCTCGTTTAGGCCGAGCCGAACTTTTTTTTTGGAGTGGGCCGAGACGAATTACTACTTCAATATATTACGCTTTTGGTCCGCTAACTCGAAGGTCCAGAATTTGAAGGCCCAAATGTGGCGTAGTTGCCTGAACACGTGGCCCAATACGGTCAAACCATGGGCTGGCCATCATCATCTAGCCCGTATGTGATTCATTGGCATAGAGAGCGCTTATTAATTTATTTTTGCTATAGACGTTTCCGTCTCTTGCAGCGGGACAAGAAAACTGTTCTATCCCTAATACTAAAGATAAAAATTTTCGTCCAGCCTAATCGGATTCGGAACGCTCCTCTCTCTGCGGATCTCGACCCGGGCTCTTGATTCTGTCATATATGCACGGTACTACGGTAGCCTAGCTCAGCTTGGCCTGCGGCCCAACAAGGACACGCTCGGCGCAGCGACCCACCCGGCCAGGGGGCACGCGCGAGCAGCGGCCGAGGACGGCGTACCGGCAATGCGCGATAGGCGGAGGAGCCTGGCAAGGGCCTCGATGACGCGAACACGGGCCGGCCAAGGGACCGCGTCCAGGCACGCCTGCCCTGCGAGCGGCACGGTCGAGGCTCGCCTCTGCCAAGGGCATGGCGCGGCCAACAACAAAAAGGAAGGGGATCGGAGCACGGAACCGTAGCCAGCCAAGGTGCGACTTCAACAGCGTCCCGGGCGGTCTCCACGAGCGAGCCCCGCAGCGGCCGGTCGAGCTCGGCTTGGGTGGTGCAGAAGAGATCCACCGTGGGCCGGCCTGGAGAGCTCCGTCGCGAGTGGCTGGGCGTCCTCGGCGGGTGGAGCAGGCAGGCTGCTGGGTGGCTGCATCCTCTGCGGTGACCAGAGCAGGCGGGGGCGGCCATGACGAGCGGAGCATGCAGGCTATGCCGCAGCAGCTCCTGGGCGACCGAAGCAAAGCAGGCGACGGCGGCCATGGCGGGCGAGGGGCGAGGCACCGGCAGCAGCAGCAAGCCGGGTGGGCAGCGCTGATCCCCCACGGGCGGCACGACAGCAGAGTAGCAGACCACTAGGGCTCCTCCACTAGCGAGCCCTTGCCACCGACGTGGTGGCGGGCGGCCGGCGAGCCTAGACCTTCGGCAATGGCCGCGTGAGCTCCGGCGTTGACAGCGGAGGTGGGCGGCTGGGCGCTACGTGGATACGGGATCTCCCGAGTCTCGTGGAGAAGATAAGGCTGAGATTAAAAAAAACAAAACAAAAAAACTCCCGTGGAGAAGATATTGTCAAAAGAAACCCAAAGGATGACAGGTGGGGCCAACTAAAGGTAAATAGGCCCCATATTTAACTTGAAGGTAAGTAGGCCTCACATTTTTTTTATCGTAGTAGGTCCCATATTTAACTTGCAACTTAGCGGTGTAAAAACAAGCAATATCATCATAAGTCTTCCTCTAAATAAGTGTCACTATAGTATTCTTGCCGATTAAATATTATTAAATTCAACTAGGTTTGTAGAAAATATTAACAACATTTGCATCTCCAAATAAGTTAATTATAAAAACAGATTCAACGATATATGTAACGATACTAATTATATACTATAAATATTAATATTGCATACTAATTGTTATTGACAGATGCAAAGATAGAAGAACCGTGAGTAAGAGGTTAACAACTGAGTGAAAATAAGTACCCATTGCAACGCACGGGCATTTTTGCTAATTTATGAAAAATTATGACAAGAATATGACATATCTATTTATGTTTTGTCATTTCTATAAAATTTCAAATCTAATAATTTATATTATGATGACTAGGACATCCATAATATAAGTTAACTTTGGCAATAATTGACAATGTCCTATTAAACTTGTATTGAACAAAAATACTCCCTCCGTCCAGAAAAGAATGCAATTCTAGCACAATGTCATGGTTTAGTACCTTAAGTTCGATCAATTATACATAAAAAGTATCAATATTTATGATATTAAATAAATATCATTAGATTAATTATGAAATATATTTTTATAATAAATTATTTTGGAGCCGTAAATGTAAATAGTATTCACTAGAAATTTGGTCAAACATAAACCACTTTTGATGGCACATAACCCGTAGTTGCATTCTTTTCTGGACAGAGGGAGTACAACCTTAATATATTTTTTCTCCTGTTGCAAGCCTTAGATACAAATATATCATAGCTTTCTGTACTATTCATGTGTTATTAAATATCGAGCTCTGTGACATTCTTTAATGACTCATAAAATATATAATTCTAATATCTATTTAAAGTCGGCAAGGAATTAGTTGTCAGCGTGCCAAGAATTGATCTGTTCATTGATGATTATTATCGAAATTTCTCTCAATTTTCCACATTGCAGCCCTCATCGGAGATTACAAAGATATATTTGTTTAGTTTGGATTAGACAAACTGCTCAAGATTTTAGTTTACGGTTTGATTAGTTTGACCATTGGTTGATCTAGATTTAATAAAGCTTATTCTGTCCACATTAATCCATGTGTGTGTGAGTGGATTAGAATGAAAATTAGTTAATTTTTCACCTCGATCCACTACAAACATAAAAATTGAGGTCGATACGAGTCCAGTCAAACAAGGCCTAATAGTGAATGAGATTATCCTAACAAGTCCTAGAAATCAACTCGCCTCCTAGACTTTACCTTTTAAACATTATTGGGAGAAATGGCTTTAGACGATGAACATGACTGTCGATTTCCGAAACATGCCGTAATCTTACAGACAGATTACGCTGGGTAACCCTTTCAACCTTCAACCTACTACCAGTACGAGCAATTCATAGACATCAATCAATAATGCAAACATAATACTGCGAGCTTTGAATTGGACCTTCGGGTAGGGCACACCTTATGTGCAGCGCAACCAATGCGGATGCCAAAAGAGATTGGCTTCAAGATGGGAAGACAAGGGGAAAAAGTCATGGCGCATGCTAGAAGCAACTCCACAATCATTCATGTGCAACTGCAGTGTGTCACGGTGGAGTACTTGCACGCACCAATTAATTCCCTTTACCTGCACGATAAACCTTCCTCTCTCTCTCTCTCTCTCTCTCTCTCTCTCTCTCTATACGGTTCACCCAACGGAAAAGAACATTTTGGCAGCTTTTTCATGCAAAAGCAAAGTCGATGGATGTACAAATGCCCTACCACATTAGCATCTGATTCTTGGAAAAGAATACTGGAAGCAGCCAATCAAAGAATGTGCAGTGTTGTTGGTTGGGAGAAGCTAAGCTTTTCATTTTCTATTTTTACTCGACCGCTCTGTTTGGTTCGTGCAATACAATTTTTCTTATAAAAAGTAAATGTCCGTACATCAGTGCTGCTGTAATTTTTTCATGGCGCGATTAATAGACATGTTTGAGTGTATATAGAGGTTTAATCGTTTGTTGCCTAATGTTACCGTAACTAAGGCAGACCGTGGTTTCTTCCCTCCAAAAAGGCCTAATCTAAAAGTAAAGGGAAGGCAAACCTAGAGATAGAAAGCTCTCGTAAAGAACTAAATAGAGCTAATTAAAATGGCATACCCATGGATTGCCTATTCTAGAAAAAGTCTGTAATCCTGAGACGATTGGAGTTTCCAAACTAGCCGAACGAATCCTTTCCCTTCATAGTTTTATTTTGGGAAAGTAGTGATGTAAGCGAATTCAACAATATAGACCAATATATTTGCCAAATTTGAGCTTCAAATTTTTTATTAAAATGGCCACTAATAGAATTGCGATAGTGGCCCAAAAGGTTATTCGCCCCTTACAAACGACATTCTTCTAGGGAGAAATATAATGGAATGGGCTATCATTCTACATGAGACTATGTATACATGAGTTAGATAGGGGAAAAAGATAAATGTGTGTTATTTAAAACTAATTTTGAAAAAGGCACATGACAAACGAAATGAGACTTTTTGCAAAAGACGCTCCAAATGAAAGTTTTTTTTCACACAAATGGTGTGATTGGATTAAAAGTCTTGTTCAGGGAGGAAATGTAGCTATGAAGGTAAACAATCAATTGAGTCCCTATGAAAGGGCATGTAGCCTAATGGTTATGAGAGTCTCAGTAGCACCTGAGGTTCTAGGCTCGACTCCCGCTGGGAGCGAATATTCCAGGATTTAATGGCTTTTGTGCTTTTAGTGGTAGTCGACGTTCCCGTCGATAGCAAGGCTCTTGTGGTGACTTCGTCAATCTTGAGGATTTGCTGGCGGCCCAGTCTTCGAATGTGCTCGTAGGGGTAGGATTTGCGTACGTGTGTTCATAGGGGTGAGTGTTTGTGCGTTGTGAGCGTCAGCGTTGTCTTGTGTGGCTGTGCAATCTTGAAAAAAAATTGAGTCCCTACTTTCAAACAAATACAAGGTTTACACAAGGTCTTTATCCCCATACTATTTAACATAATGGTGGATATGTTGTGAATCATCATTGATAGAGCCCACGAGGATAGACAAATAAAAGAAGTAAGGTCTCGTTTTAGGAAATTGGTCTATCCCTTTTACAATAAGTTTTGATGATACTTTGTTGTTTTTAGACCATTATATTGAAGAAGCGAGAAGGTTGAAGTTACTTCTATGTATGTTTCAACAGTAAATTAACTTCTATAAGAGTGAGATATTATGTATTAGTGATGCTAGCCAATGTGAAGGGCGCTATTCGTAGCTATTCGACTGTAAGGTACCCTTTTTGCTACTTGGGGCTCCTAATAATTTACTACAAATTAAATAACAACGACTGAAATAAAAGTTGAAAAAGGAACTGAAAAATGGCTTAGTGGTTGGAAAGTTAAACATTTGTTAGTTGTAAGCAGATTAGTGCTGATTAATTTAGTTTTGTCAAGTCTACCTATGTTTGTGGTCTCGTTATTTGAAGTCCGTAGACGAGCCTCGAAGAAAATAGAGTATTATAGATATTTTTGACAAAATGATCAACACGAAAAGAAATATAGGCTAGTTCAATGGCTTATTCTGTGCCAACCCAAAGAACAAGGAGGGCTAGGTATTCAAAACCTAAATATACAAAATAAATGTCTTTTAAACAAGTGGCCTTTTAAGTTATATAATTATCATGGGGTATGGTAAGAGTGTTTGAGAAACAAATATATTAAAGACAAAACTCTCCCGCAAGTCTATAAGAAGGCAGGTGATTCACATTTTTGGATGAGTCTTATGGGTGTGCAAATGATAGATTTTGAGGTTGGGTATTTTTAGATTACAGGATGGCAACCAAATCAAGTTCTAGGATGATACTTGGTTGGCATCCTCTAAAAACTCAATACCCAATAATATATAACATATCACATAGGAAATAGTTGAAGATTGCGGAGGTACTATACACTACAACACTTAATGTCACCTTTAGACTATTTCCAACAACAACACGTAAAATAAGACACATTCAACGTTTGGGTAGCGCTACAGATAAAGGGTTCAATACCCATTCGACATCCTCTTCAACAACAGGACCCAAAAGAGAATTCTTTCTGCAAATGGGTTTTCAGGAGCGATGATACTCATATTTGGGTTGTGCCTTTCGGGCAACCCAAAATGGGTCTCCCGTATAGGTACTCTGTTGGAGGCTGATTTTGGGTCTTCTGCTATCCATTTTGGATTTGGGTACCCATATGGGTCACTTATTGGCCCCGTTCGGATGGTATGGTTCTGGAGGAATTTTGATAGTTTGGAGGAATTCTTGAGGAATCTGTAAGAGAAAAACACTATTCTAGATAAAAAAAGAAGCGGGTCAAACCGGGTTTAAGGGCACACGAATGAAGCCATTGAAGACAGTCTTAGGAGAGCTTTAGTGGGAACCAAACAAACAGAATGACATAACTTAGTTGCTAGAGTGGTGAATTTAAACCTGCAACATGCTTCCGGCCAATGTGTGTGTTTGGTTCTACATAAGAATGGTGCTCTTTGTATACTCAATTAGCTTGTTCGCTTGTTGATTTCAGTCAGGGCTT